TTCCGCCCCCCCCCCGGCCCAGCGGCCGCCACTTTGATGCCCCCCGAGCCGCTCGTGGCCTCTCCTCCGTTGTGCGAGCCAGAGCAGGACCCGGCTCGCCTCCCCCGGCGGCTGCTTGCCTGATGGGCTAAGAACCAAAAGTCACAGCAACTTATAATCCGCCAAAGCGGCCGCTGTGGCTGGATAAAGCCATTTTAGAGCGTCGCTCTCTACAGAGGGACCGCGCTCTAAAAACCAAATAATCCTGCATCCTCCTGCAAAGCAGAGTACCTCATATTTACACTAGTTCCTACCTAGCGTCTGTAAAAGGATTGCAAGAGATCCAGAAAACCAGCAGGCACTCTGCATTTGGAAGGGAAAAGCTAATAAACATTTAAAACTCCGCAGGCAAACCCGTGCCACCGAGTCCGAGCCATCAGCTCCCCCGGCTCTGCCCTCTCCCCTTCCACGGCCGACCGCGCGCCCGGCGCCCAGTTTGGCCGTGTTCGGGTGAAAAAGGTCGCCCCGTGGGCTACGTCCGCCAGCGAACGATTCGTAGGGCATTTCAAACGCTCCGTGTGTCATCTTCCAGCTCAACACATTTCCCAGCCAGCAGCCAGACCCCACCGTGGACGTTACGGAGCCAGAAATGGTGCGGAGAGCCAAAACCACGCCTGGCCCAGCCCCAGCGGCACCAGCAGGGTTGTCACACCGGGAGCAGGTCTGGCTCGCACTTATGGTTGCCTCCATGAAGCATCTAATTACTCTTCCATGATATTGTTGGAGACAAGTCCTACCCACCTTCAGGTATTCTTAATTTTCAATTAAAGTCAGTATTCATCCAAAATGTGGGAAAAATAAACACAATTTGCCCAACGCAGCCAAAAGCTGGGTTTTTTTTGCCAGGTACCCAAATAGGATGCACGGTCGTTATCGCCCTGCCGTCTGTAACAGGGCGCAGCCTGGGTGCTGAACGCCTTTTGCTGCCTAGATGTTTTCATTAGCATTTCTACCTGATTTTAGGCCTGGTTTTAGGTAATTACTGTACCATGAAGAGCCTTTCTCCCCGTCTCCTCTTAGCCTTTGCAACTCGGGAAGCCCTGTTCTGCTCCACCAGTCACTTGGAATGGTCAACAGTCGTCACACTCCGTTGCTGACCATTGTCCGCTGGCAAAGGTGGGAGGCTCCAAAGCCCGTCCCTCTGCGGACGGGCAAACAGCGGGGCCCGTTGCTGCTCGGACATCAAAGTTAAACAAACAGACCCAAGCCCCCGCCTCTGTGCCCGTCTTAAGGAGCTCCCCAAGGAGGTCACGACTTCCAGCTTGTCATGGCACACATCAAAGTTTGCACCACACACGAACTCAGCACACGGATTCGAATCGTGTCGCCCGAGAGCGGATATTCAGCCTTTGTGCACTGCTTTAATCCTGTGTTTTCCCAAGTAATTAGGCTTTTTTGCTTATGAACTTGTGACTAAGTAAAGCATCCCTGAGAGGTTGTAACATCAAAGCTCATTCTCCCGTCTGTCCCACGTTTTCCAAAATTGGATTTCTTTTTCTCTTTTTTCCTTAAATAAAAAACTAATTGAATTTAGTTGTAGACTGAATATATTTAAGAGCGTCTTTAAAAGGTTACAAGAAGCCACGGCGATCATCATGGGAACTAAGGAGGGAGGGCACAGCATTCAGCCTTTTTGCTTCATAAAGGCCTAGCATGAAAGACCCAGCAACGGCCCCACAGGCCGGGAGGGACGCGGCAGCTCTTCGGGAGCTGCTGCTGATGGCGGGGCGTCCGGCTGCCCACCACCACGACAGCCCAAGGTCACGGACTCATCAGAGGCCAAAAGCTCCTGCCAATTCAGCAGCCACCTCTCTGGGGTCGCGAGCAGCCCATCTCCATCCGTCACACAACGTACCGGGCAAAGGAAGAGCGAAACGATCTCTTGGGTTTAGCTCGACAACGCATCCCAAACCAGCCCAAACTGTATGGAAACCCTCCGTGGAGCTCAGGGCGACGTTAGGAAAGGGTGGGGCAGCTGGGAAGTGACTTACCCGCTACGCGGTGG